CCACATGGTAGTCACAGTCCCCAGTGCTCAGCCCGCATGGTAGCCACAGCTCTGTGCTCAGCCCACGTGGTAGCCACGGTCCCCTGTGCTCAGCCCGCATGGTAGCCACAGCTCTGTGCTCAGCCCACATGGTAGCCACAGCTCTGTGCTCAGCCCACATGGTAGCCACTGTGCCCTGTGCTCAGCCTGCATGGTAGCCACAGCCCTCACCTGTCATTACCACCCACAGGACTAACTCCCTTTCAAATACTTGGAAAATGAACAACTAGCCAAACCTGGGGTGGGCATCCATCCCAGTCCAATCTACTTAGAGCAGGGATAAGGTCCCACAGCCCAAACGTACCCATTGGGCTGCAGCAAGAGCGGATAGCCTCGCTCTTGGAAGACGGCACAGTTCATCTTTACCATTGGCCTCCATATTCACTCACTGACTCCCTTTGGGCTCCGCCTCTTCCTGTGGTTCCAGCTCCCCCATCATAGGGTGTTTTCCTCCAGGTAACAAACATCACCTCTCCCACATAATGACAGCACCAACCCCCCTTTCTGTCCTGTCCTCCAGCCAACCCTGCCACTCCCCCCACCCCCTCCCCCAATTTCACTGAGATTTCTGCGATGGCTTCCTCAGAGCCCCTCTGGGCACAGCTTAAAGGTCTACAGGATTTGTGACCAACCCTCCACGCTCCCTCTCTTACTGTGGCTTCATCCTTAGAGACAATAACTTCCAACCGTCCTAACAGACTCTGCTGTGACTCGGATGTGGTTTGCCCCCCCACCCTACCCCATGGTGCGGAACTTGGTCCTCAGGGTTGGTGGTGGTGAGGTAGAGGGGCCTTTAAGGCCTGAGGTCAAGGGGAGGTTCTTAGGTCACTGGGGACATTGCCCCAGGGAGGGATTGAAGGCGCTCTGGCCAGTGAGTTGTAGTGGGCAGCCTGATCCCGACTCCTCTCCGGCAATGTGCTCTCTCCTCCCATACACTCCCTTCTTCCCCGTCTTCGGGTCCTCACCAGACCCCGGCATCGTGTCCTTGATGTTCCAGAACTATGAACTAAGTAAATCTTTGAAAGGATGATAGCATTTTGTTAACGGGAAGCAGACTACAGCAGTTGGAAATGATCTCCTGTCTACACCACATGGGATGGATTACTACATCTTGATGGATTTTCTTTTCTTTTCTTTTCTTTTCTTTTTTTTTGAAACAGGGTTCCATTACATAGCCTGGCTGTCCTGGAACTGGCTGTGTAGACCAGGCTGGCCTTGAACTCACAGTGACCTGTCAGCCTCCATTGGGATCAGAGGTACATCAGCACATATCCCAATTCTTTAGCTTTAGGTTTTGTGTGTTCTCTTTCTGTTGTGGAACTATGTAAACTTTAACTACGTAAAGGTGTTATATTAGTTCATGTTGTGGAATAGTGCTTTATGTAAAGGTGTTACATTTGTTTCTATTGTGGAATAGTACTTAAACACGTAAAGATGTGTTTGTTACATTTGTTTCTGTTGTGGAATAGTACTTTAACTATGTAAAGATGTGTTACATTTGTTATGTTGCATTTGTTTAAAGATGTAAAGATGTGTTGCCAGCCTGAGGCACCTGACTGGTCTAATAAAGAGCTGAATGGCCAATGGCTAGGCAGAGAAGGGATGGGCGGGGCTGAAGGGCAGAGAGAATAAATAGGAGGAGGACTCTAGGCTGGAGAGAAGAAAGGAGAAAGAGAGGGAGATGCCAGGCACCAGTCAGCGGGGCCTGAAGGAAGCAGGAAATTAATACACACAGAAGGAAAGAAAGGTAAAAGCCCCGAGGCAGAACATAGATGAAGAGAAACCGACTAATTTAAAGTAGAGAAGCTGGCTGGGGACAGGCCTGAGCTAAGGCCCAGCACTCATGACTACGAATAAGTCCCCCAGGTCTGTATTGGGGAGCCGGGTAGTAGCCCAAAGAGAAAGCTTGCTATATCTATCTACTACGGCAGGGGAGGAGACAGTCAAGCCTGGCTTTCACCACCGTCCAGGTTCCCACGCCCCCCCCCCCCCTTCCAACATCACCTCGACTTGCAGCAGAATCTTGTGACTCCGGCTGGCTCGGAGCTCACCGTTAGATCCCTGCCCACAAGGAGTAAGCCGCAGAGCCAACCACCAGCTCTCCTCTGGATGATTTCCCGTTTCCCTGGGGCCTTAGTTCACTTCCTTTTTGTTCGATTTTGGGTGTGCCTGCCGTTAACCAATCAAAATTCAGACACACCAGGCCCCCTCCCAACTTCTGATCAGGTAAAAAGAACTCTCAGAAGTGTGTCTGCTCTTACTAATTAGTCCTTGGCGACACAGCCGTCACCCTGGCATCTCCTCAGGGTCTCTCGTTCCTGTCTCCAGTCACCGCCCTTCCACGGGCTGGTGCCTCCTTCTGTCGGGTCACATGCTCCTCGGCTTCAGAGAGTGCACGCAGAGGCGGCCAGCTCTGTGTGATGTGGGTGGAGGAACGTGGTCTCCTTCCACTCTGACCCTTGGACAGTACCGCGAGCAGTGTAAAGGTCAAGGTTGGAAATAATTCCCACGAGAACGTCCAAGCCGCGTCTCCGGTCGCTCAGCTTCCAGCTGAAAAGCCAAAGGACATTCGGAGTTCTGGAGCTCGGAGTGAGTGTGAGCAGCACTTTCCTCCTGTCTCACATTCACACGGGCGCCCCCTCCCCGACGGGGTGAGCATCCTTCTCAAACTGCCACAGCTTTAAACCTTAGTTCTAGAAACTTCCCCCAAAATAGCCGCTGCTTTAAGCCCCAACTTTCACTTGTCTGTTTGACTTTGCATAAGCTACTCTGCGTGGCAGATTTACCTTCTTCTGCCAAACCCTGCCTGGCGGTCCCCGGGCCCAGGTTAAATGTCAGTGCTGGGAAGCCTCCCCCCCTCCCCAGCCCCCATTCCGACTCTCGGTGGAACGTAGCACATTGGTGTGTCTGCCTTTCAACACTTTTTGTTCCTCTGGAACAGGGAAGGGCTGTGCCCGGCACTCCCAGCACGTGGCACGGTCTGCTTACCTCTGCTTTACTCACCCCCTCAGCCTGCTTCCACTGGCCTGCACTGGTTCACCACGCTGACTGGCCCAGTCGAGGCCATGTGATGAATGAGTCTCTCCCTGGGGACTGAAGCCACACCAGGCAATACTCTCCCACTCAGCTCTGTCTTCATTTCTATTTTAAGACAAGGTCTCCCTAAGTTGCTCAGGC